TATATATATATATATATATATTTGTATAAAACTTAATAATTAAATTTCTCTTTTCAATAATTACACAAACACATGTAGAGAAAAAATCATCTAACACTTTCATTTAATATTATCATTCTAGTCATATATAATAAATAAACTTAAATATAATTATTATTTATGTAGTTTAGCACCATTTTTCTTTTAATCTTTGCTAATTTTTTTGTGCTATTGTCTTAAAAAAAATTAACTCAAACATTTTTACTTTGTGCTATTGTTTTCTGTAACGCAATTGGTAAATTAGAATAGGGCGTTCCAAAATTGGAACGGGACGTTCCAAACTACTAAAACAAGGGTGATTTAGTAGCCTAGAACGGGTTGTTCCCAAACTAGAACGGGTCGTTCCCATACTGGAATGGGCCGTTCCAGACTACTAAATAGGCCTGTAAATCCTAGTTAAGAACGGAATAATAAATAATTAAATTAAAAAATAATAAATTTTATAATGGTTATTTTTTTTAATGATGTTAAATTAAATATTCTAACTATTTTATAATAAATAAAAATAAAAAGGTAATAAAAATATGTTTTACCTACGGAATTTATCTACGGAATTATCTGTAGATAAGTTATCTACGGAAATTTTCGTAGATAACTTATCTACGAAAATTTCCGTAGATAACTGGACATTATCTACGGAAAAAATTTCGAATATAATATTCCGTAGAAAATTAAATATTATCTACGGAAAAAATTCCATAGATAATATTCCGTAGATAATGAAACAATATCTACGGAAAAATTTCCATAGATAATATTCCGTAGATAATAACAGTTTTTCTTGTAGTGAAGGTAGTTCAAAGAGACAAGCTCATGACAAAACCGGATGGATTAAAAAAATAAAAACATTGATGTATAACATGCAACCCAAAATTTCCAGCAACTCAAAAGTTTAAAGAAAAAGGCAAGAACCTAAATAAGAAAGCCTAAAATGACAAGATGATTCACAAAGAACATATGGTATGAATCAACACATGAGAAGAGATTTATGGATCATCAAAATATGGGAATGATGATGATTCATTTAGGCACACTTAGGAGACATGTAAGGAAGACATGACATGACCGAATATTTTTAGAGATAAAGAGATTGTTACCCTTGAAGAACCAAGGCTCTAGATACCACTTGATGGCATCCTTACTTGCATGAACATGAGGTGATGAGCAAGGAAGAGGACGCCTTCTCCAAGGATCAAGTTCTTCAAAGGTGGACCAAGGTTTTAGGGTGGGAGATGATGAAATGGACGAAAATGGAAGTTGGGTAGAAGGTGTTTGATGAAAGGCTTGAGGAGGGTACTCTAGGGTTGACTCACTTCATGATGATGAAGGCCACTTCTAGGGTTGTTTCTCTCAAGGTGGAGATGAGAGGGAGGTGGCCGAATTAGCCAAGGGTGACTAAGGAAAGATATAAAGGCACAAAAGGCTCTCTTTATATTCAATATCCAAAGTATTTACAAGGTGTGGTGCCTAGGGTATTTATAGGAGTGGGAGGCATCTAGGGTTGCATTTAGGGTGCCAAATGCACACCAAATGAAACCCAAATTAACCCTAGATGCAACTTGGTGGCCAAGGATGGAATCTTTGGGTTTAGTTAGGCTACATCTAGGTGCATGATAAGACCATGCAACCTTTTCCCTCCACTTGGGCCTAAGCCTTTCTAACACCAAAAATAGGTCCAATAGCCACAAAAATATGTCTAGGTTTTTGTTCCCACCCTAATCAAATACCTTAGCCCAAAAATAAAATCCTATGATCTAAAGCACCCCATAATACAAGGGTAAAATGGGAAATACAAAAGAAAATAAATCCTATGACTAAGATACCCCAAAATACAAGGGTAAAATTGGAAATACAAGTAAAATAAATTCTAAGACTAAAATATCCCAAAATACAAGGGTAAAATAGGAAATCAAATACAAGGACAAAATAGGAATAAATGCTATGCTAAGAAAATCTTAGGAGCTAAGGCCCAAAAGTGGGCTCACTCCTCCTATGGTTTTTTTTTCAGCACTAACCCATTCCTTTTGCCTCCTTTAATACATCACCTCTTGGACTTAGTGTTATTCCATCAACAGTGTCTTTGATCAATGAACACTACTCAGTGAATGTTGATCTTTTATGTACAAATCTTTTTCTTTGTACGTGTATATTCTAAAACTATCACTACTATTTTGTAGTACGAAGGCTTGATCTTTATATAGTAGTTTTAGAGAAGATGACCATTACAACAATGTTGTATTTAAACGTTCAAATTTCTTCACAAGTTGCTTCGTATGTCTTCCTTGTTGATCTTAGAGATTACTGTTGATGTATTAATTGCAAGCATTAAATGCTTATTAGTGAAATGTGTATCTCTTACCTGATATAGGCAACTACTTATCATCATTTCCTTCTAAAATAAGTGTAGTAGAGTAATGTCAATGTAGCGCAATTAGGACTAGTGTAGAGCAGTCTCATTTAGTACCTTTTCCGTGATATCCAAGATTTTGCTTTTTGGTTTTTCACTATTTTGTCTTTTTCCTCTTTAATGCACTTTGAGAGTTTTGAATTCCTTTTTGTTCAATCTACTTAGGAATAATACATTAAATGAAGTTTAATGTTAGTCTTATATAACAGTGTTCATTTAATGTCATTAGACGGACTATATGTTTCATCTGATTTCTTTCATCTTACAAATAATATGTATTTTCTTCATATTTCGTCTAATATGATTTATCTTTGAAGAATGTTGACTTTTGCTTAAAGAATATCTTTTGTCTGTCACCATTAAAACTTAAAGTATCTTCTGTTGTCTTAAAATAGGATTTTTGATTTAACAATAAGTTTTTCTTGACATGGAAAGTATTATTTTTCTTCAAAATGTTACTTAATTAAAAAATTCACTTAACTTAATCCTTGGTTATATAAATCAACTTTAAAATAAAGAATCCAAATTCGATGAAGATACTTTTTTATGTTGAACTTTAGTGTATTTGAGTTAGAATGTAGCAAGAGAAAAATTTGTTCTCAAAAAGAAAATGTTTAGTTAAAATTTGCCTTATTTTGGATTTTAGGTACGACAAGGAGATTGGAATAAAAAAAATATGAAGTATTACAAAAATCAATGACTTCAAATATAATTCCTTTCTCATTTTTCTTTGTTTCCCTTTCTCACTTGAATCTAATAATGCTTTAGTGTTGAATGACATGCTTTAAGAATTTTGTGTACCATTTACCAGAGGCTGTAAGTCGACGCTTGAGACAATCTTTAAAATCAACATGAATAAGTCCCCGATTTTCAGAATAGCCCGCTTGAAATTCAAATGTATCAAATGCAGCCCATACAAAGTAACCACGGACTTTTACTCCATTTCTATTAATAAAAGCATTTCAAAAACATAAAAAATTAGTATACACTTACTTATGAGAACAATTTATATGTCATTTTAGGAATACTCTAATTTAAAGTAAAATTTCCTTTATTGTTCAAGGTTAATATTTTATTAACTTTAGATTATTTTTTCAATGTCCAACTTTTACATTTTTAATGGATTTGGATTTGTCCTTAAAGATAAATAATACACTTTAAAATAAAATAGTACAAAATTATAAATATTAATTAAAAATTAATATCATATAATCATGAAATGTTGTTAAAATTCACTTAATAAACTTTTCAAATATGATTATAATTCTACACTCTTTAAAATGTACATTAAGTCAAATAGATGTTTAAAAACTTGTCAAATATACTTAAGAAGAATACTTAAGTTTCATACTTAATGTACATTAGTCAAATAAAAACAATATAACTAGCATCTACAACTTAACATAAAGAAAAATAAGATTTCTCTTAAAAATAAACATATAATTATAATATTTATATATGATTTTTTTAATATAATTTACTTCAACAAAAAAAAAAAAAGAACGTTATATCTCAACAATGATAATCAATACTACTTCATATGTTTTCTAATATGGATTAGTTAAGTATCCATGGAATGATAAAAAGAAACAACTTACTCAATTGCTATCTTGGTATAGTTTAAATGTGTGGCTAAATATTTGATTCGATGTGTGTCATTTAAAGGATTTGTAAGGTTAAATGAGCCGATACCTACAAAAAGAGGATTTATTTTTGTAGTTACCAGAAAAAGGATTCAAACAAAGGCAGATATATGAATTTCTTTTTAAGTAGAGATTATAAATTCATCTAAATAAAACATAAATGTGAAAAATAATGATTTTACCAACCATTCTCAGTGATGTAGATATTAGGATTTTGATACTTTCTCTTAATATATTGTAAGACATTATATAGTCCTTCAGGGTAGACAAAAATCTTACCATACTTATCCTACAAGCCATGAACATTGAAAATGTGTTAAAAAATAGTTATATCATTAACCTCTAACAATTTTATAAAGTTAGTCTCACCAAATAACCAAGTATTTTTCCTTCTGAATTAAAATCTATAATAATGAAAAATAAGCAAGAATTAGTGAAATTATCCATTATTATGTCTTTTATCCAAATAGTTGAATGTAGCTTAAAAATAAAGCTTACCTTCTGTTATTGCTAAGGAATCATAATTGTCTAAAACTTTCATCTTTGTTTTGTTTGTTTCATATTTAGCAAAATGAGAAGTATAATAATTGATCCCAATAAAGTCTATACTTTTCGTGACAACTTTTTTCTCCTCTTTTGTGAAATTTGGTAGCCTATTCCCTACTAACTTTCTCATGATTTTTGGATAATCGCCATAGACAACTGGATGTAAAACCCTGTTCGTTGATAAGTCCAAACATTGAAAAAAAAATTCAAATGAAAATACCAAAAGTGCAAATACAACTTTATTTTGTATATTGACAGTTAAAAATATAGAACTAAAATATCAAACTAGAAAAACACAAAGGAGGCATAATATAGACATATAATCAATTAAACTAACCATCCTATGAAAAACTTCATAAGTCTTTTAGCAGCAACTACATCTTTTGATTTTGAACTGTAAGGTACAAAACTTTCAGATCCAATAACAATTCCAATTTCCCCCTTTTGTGTTGCCTACAAAAAGCAATAAATGCTCAATACAAAATAACATTTTTATGTTTAAAATTTTGTACATATAAAAATCTAATTTTTATTGTATTAAGGTTATTATTTTATTCTATCTAGGTATAACGATTAATTTTTATTATTAAATGAAGAATTTGATTTTGATATTACCTTTGATATTGGTTAAAGTAGTTATAGTGCCTCAACATATGATTGAATTTTATTATAAAATTGAGTTTTAAAATTAAACTATGGATATATTTGAAGTCACTATAACATTTAAAACTAATTACAAAATATACCATACTTGAAATTTTTCTCTGTATAGCTTCACTGTAGTAGCATGGCAAAGGATGAAGTTATGAACTATAATATATGGTTGTTTGCAAAGTTTGGTAGTTTGACATGGTTCTGGATCTTCATTATCATAGCCATGCATGTAAGTATACAAACCTACAACTTGTGGTTCATTGATTGTGGTCCAATGCTTGACTCGATCTCCATATGTTTTAAAAAGGAGTTCACAATAATCTTTGTAATAATTTCTGAAATTTGAGTTTTTAAAATAATCATAATAAGCATGATGAAATTATATATTATTTTGCATGAACTATATCCAAGTTAAATCAATTTCATAAAAACACAATATCTAGAAGAGATAACGTAGAAAGTTCTTTACACAATGGAGCTATTCAAAAAGCCACCAAGATTTTTCTGAATGGCAAGAGGATAGTCAAAGTGCATGAAAGTCACAAAAGGTGTAATGCCTACATTTAAATAGATCATGTTAAGCAAATTAAAACCATTAAAATTATTGTGTGTAATTTTGATAAAATAATATTATCCAAGTCTAATTATTTGAAAAATAATGTTCATTGCATCATACCATTTGCAAGTAGTTCATTGATCAAATTGTTGTAGAAGTCAATACCTTCTTGATTTACACCTCCTTTTATGGTTCCATCTATATTTTGTTGTAGAAAATGAAGCAAAAGATATGTCAATGTTGTTAATATTGTCATTCTATCTCTAGATACTCTTTAATTATATATTAGACTACTTTATTTAAAAATTTTACTCGGCAAAACTCTACTCCATGAGATGGACATTCTATAAGAATTTATTCCAAGATTCTTCAAATGTTGAACATCTTCCTACAAGATCATTAATAAAATAAAATAAAATATAAAAATAAAACAAAATAGCTTGTTGTATGAATGCAAATATATCTACATCTGATTTGTCCTTACTCACCTTGTATCGTCTATAATGTTGTATCATTGTTGGAAACTTATCACTATCAATATATGATCCTGATTATTATGGAGGAAAAAATTAATTATAAAGGGTTTAAAAATTTGAGCATAAAAATAAAATAACATATGTCGAGAGTTTAATATAATTTCATTGATTATAACATAAAACACATATAAGTTATTAGTATATATCGGGAACCTTTGTTACGATTAACTCTTTCATCCCATATACTTGGTCCCCTTCCTCCTTCATGAGCTGCTCCTTCAACCTATATTTCATAATACTTAATAACTAAAACACCTTAATATTAAATTTATATTTTCCTTATAAATTTTTCTATGACATTTTTAAAAAAATAATCAACTTTAAATACCTGTAAGGCAGAAGTTCCAGCTCCAAACAAAAAGTTAGGTGGAAATGATTCTCGTTTTAGAAAGTGGGAACATTTTTGTAAATCTTCCAAAGAAAAATAATTTAGGGTCAGTTTTTTCTCCATCTATATTCAACAATAATATGTTATAAATAAAGTTATTTTAATAGTTCCTTCAATTTTTATGTTATTTATACACTTTCTCACATTTTATGAAAAATTGAATACAGAAAAAACAATTTCAAATTTTCTTTTTCTTTGTATTATAGAAGTAAAGAATATAAAACCAACCCAAAATGCATACGAAATAAACATTTTATTACAAAACTATAGTACTTGTGAATTGGAAAATCTAGAATCAAAAAAGTGTCAGATAATGAAGGCAATTTGAGAAAGCATGAAAATTTTTGTAAATTTGAAATTATATCATGATATAAGTTTTAAATAAAAAAATAGATAAAAAAATTACATGTTTTAAAATTAAATTTACACTTTACATGCAATTGGAGAGTGCTCCTACATTAAACAATAATTAAAAAATATGATAGAATAAAAACAAGTAATAGATAATAATTATCAAATACATAAATTAAATAAATTTTTAGTAAGATATTTATTTTACATTGATTTAGTTCACTCTTATAACATAATAAAAAGGTATTTGTACATCTATATTAATAGAATTAAAAAAAAATTTACATGATACAAAGCACTAAAAAAGGATGCAATGCTCAAACCTTGGGCATCAATGGATAAGTTGGAAAGCAAAACAAAAGAGATTCTTAAAATAATTTTACAAATTCTCAAAGATGAAAAAATCTTCATTTTTGACAAGCAAAAAAAAAAAACTCTTGAAGCCCAAATAAAAACCACAATTAGACAGTGGATACAACGCATGCATTTTCTATAATATATATAAAGAGGAGGTGAAATAAAAACTGTTATGATTGTGAAACTGATAATGAGGTATTTTTATATTTTAATGCAATTTAATATTCAAATGAATATTTATAAGTTTATTATTCATGATTTATTTAAATTTAATTAAATAAAATTCAATTCATTTTGAAGGTTATAGTATGAAAATTTTCACATAAGTAATAATGTTAGTCTCTTCATCACACTGAAAATAAAGCTATTTAAAAACATTTATTAGTAAAAAAAATTAGAAAAATGTAATTTTATGGCAAAAGATTCAATGTTACAAGTAAGCTTTTATTTCATTAAATAAATAGACAAGAAAAATATAGTTGTAATACATATATTTTATCATATAGCATAAATATCATTTCAAAATATTAATTTTCTATACAAATAAAAACTTTTATCATACATGCTACATTTACATCAATAACATTGAGATATTTCCTCATATAATAAGTTAGCAATAACATTGAGATATTTCCTCATATAATAAGTTAGCAATAAGTTACCTTTTGTGGTATGTCGTTATTTGGTCACTTTATTTATTACCTAATGGAGTTATTTTCAACAAATTCTCAGTTAATTTTGTTGGTTTGTTGGCTTTAATACCAATTAAATTATGATGTTAGTTACATGAAAGCCTTCTATATGGCTGGATATAATAAGATAATATGTAGGTAAATTTGACTTTATTCCTCTTTGTATCTACACAAGATGGCGTTAGTTTGAGATCAAACTTAATAAAGGAAAATTTTAAACTCAACTTTATCTTTGATGGGAAAACAAAATACTTACATCACCTTTCTGTTAAATATATTTTAGTTACATACTTTTAAAATAATACGCAAAAATAATAAACAACGGGAACCTTAAAAATAAGAAATTAAATAACTAAAATATAGCTTTAGTAAAATGTTTAATTTTGGCTTTGTTATTTAATTTTCTAATGGAGTTATTTTCAACAAAGTCTCAGTTAATTTTGTTGGTTTGGCTTTAATACCAATTAAATTATGATGTTAGTTACATGAAAGCCTTCTATCTGGCTGGATATAATAAGATCTCCGAGTCTAAGTGGCACACCTAAGCAATCACCTATTGTTGTCTATACCTGGTTCTCTTCGGAGTTCCTAACGATGTCCTATACCTGACCTGGTTGAGATAGGTCAAACGCTGAATTCG